TTATTTCAGTTATGTCATTATTCTTCACTAGATATATATATATATATTTGACCATGCAAAAGTTTTTGCCTCGTAATTTCCATAGAGAAATGAATTTATCTTATTTCGATTGCAATATTATAATAATTGAAAATTCGATTTATTATTAATTGATTGATTTATGGTTTGATTGTTAGTTTTATTCTGTATATTAATATAATCTATTTAATTGATTCATTTATTTCACATTAAAAAAGATATAACAACTTATTTTAGCACGTTGAAAATAATACTGATGAATCCAGATCTTTTAATCATATTCATCTGATACGTAGCGCCATCTTTTGAATTAAACTCTAATTAAATCTAAAAAATCTAAAGAATAGACCTATAGCTTCATCATAATTCACATAAATAATAGATTATTTATTTTTCATCATACTATTTTCTCTAATCTTCCAACACACCAATAGCCATCAAGCTTTCTTTTTCTTCCTTATTTTTTGTTTCAATAGGTTCTTTTTTTTATTTATTTGTTATTCTGTCTTGACAGTTCCAAGAGTTTCGAATATATATATATATATATATATATATATATTATTTATAAATCTATCAAAATTCATATGGCGTATTTTCTTAAGTATGAAAAATATCTTTTTCGTTTGTTTTCAAATATAAACATTCATATATATTTAAGTTGGGGTTATAAAACTAGCTATTGTTGGTAGTGCAACAGTACTTGTTATTAGTCATGAAGTATTTGGTACTAATAGATATATACTCAAAAAAATAATTAATGAAATTCGTACATCATTACCAGATACAACTGAAACATTCGATCAAATTCCAACAAAACAAGAAGTTAAACATGCTATTATAGATACATGTGAAATTCAGGTAAATACGTCATAATTTTTGTACAATGTGCACACACATATATATATATATGTATATTGATATAAATCTAGGCGTTCAAAAAAGTTTTAAATGGCTTATTAATATTCCAATACATATTCGTCGATTATTATCTTCAATCAAAAGCTAGAAAAAATAAAATAATAAAATATATTTCATCTAGTTAGTGTATTTCTTAAAGGTCTTGATTTTAATACATTGAACAAAAGAAAGTTTTTATTGGATGCATCGATCAAAGACATCATGCATTTTGTTGATTAAAAAGAGAAATGTTGTTATTGTATACGTTGGGGTCGTTTGTCGAACACACAACAGAACAACAACAACATATTGCTATTCTTTCTTTTTTTTTTCTTTTCCTTGCTTTCTTACTCCGTCCTATCAAAGCAGCTTCATGGCAACGTTCGAACGAGTTAAGATAAACAATATATATATATATATATATTGGTTATTCCTTTTTTTTATTTGTCTATTGACACAATTAAGTTTTGACCTCTTGCATTTTTTTTAGTAGGAAAAAAAAAGAAGAATGAACAAATTAGAAATATTGACCGAAAGAATGAAAAAAAAGCCGTCTAGCAGAGTTAAACTTATAATTGATCTATTTTGTAGATTGCCGTTGAATGAGTTTTTTTTCTTAAAATCTAAAAATGAGAGTAACAACAACAAATCGAACATCTAAACTTCAAACACCAACAAGAACTAAAACATCATCAACAACAATACTTAATGAACAAACAGGTCATCTACAAAATGGTACAACTATTGTTTCACCAACATCATCAAATAATGTAATTTAATGATAAATCAATTTTTCTAATTTCGTTTTTTCTTTCTTTCGTTTAATTTCTTTCTCAGGGTACACTACGTTTAATTGATTCAGGTGATTATTTGTCAACAGCAGTGTCACCACCACAACAACAACCGGTAGCAACATCAGCGATGCTTCAATTTTTACAACCCTCATCTAATGCAATACAAAATATGCTTATTCAACAAATACTAACAAGTCCTGAACAGGTACATAATTCATATGATGTAACAGGTCAAGTTATAAATATATATATCCCTCTCTCCCTGTTTCTCTTTTTTTTTTTTGATATGTCTATGGTCATTTATGAAGCCTACAATAAGTGTCTTTGCGTATTGAGGCTATGAACAATATGGTTTGCTGCCTCATTTTTTTTCTTTCTTTCTCTCCATCTTTCTTTGACGTCTCATTCGTTATACGACAAACATCGCACAGGATGTTGCTTATAGTGTTCGCTTATGAGGACGGCAAAAAAAAAACAATATATAGAGAATAAGAATGAGAAGGAAAGAAAATTAATAATAGAATAAAAAAAAAAAAAACCGAACGAACGAGAAAGAAAGAAACACATAAAAAAAACAACAACAACCAACCAAACTATCGTTGTATCTGTGTTGTTTCACGCATGCTATAGTGTCTGTGACAACAATAATAAAACGAGTATTTGTCGGAGAAAGAAAATACACTATTAAATATAATAGAATATTTCTATTTTTCATGATCTAGCAACGTCTTCTTGTTGAAAAAATCAATCAACAGTTGAGTGAACAAATTCAACTTAATCTTGTTCAACCAACGACAACAACGACAGCATCAAATTCTGACGTTATTAAACAAATTCAAGTAAGAAAGAAATAAAACTTTTTAATATTTATTATCTTTTATTATTATTATTACTTTTAGAATCAAATAGCAAATCAACAACTTCTTCTTCAACAAGTTTCTTCTAAACAACAACAACAGCAACAGCAACAGCAACAGCAACAACAACAAATTCCTAGTTTATTTAGTATTACAAATTCAAACAATTCTAATCAACCAACAACAGCTACTGTTCAATATTTAACAACAACAACACCAAATAATTCATCAACTAGTGGTAAGAACAGCTCGTCATTTCTCTTTGCCTCGAGATGAAAAAGCTCTTCTATCAATAAACAACATTTATTTATATATGTAAGTGTCTACAGAATCTCCATCAGTGATTTCAATATCAACACGTCCTCATCATCAACCAACAACAATCAACATCACAGATCTGCTAACAGCAGGTCGAACCATTACCGGTTCGTCATTCGAAAGATTTATATATATATATATATAATATATATATATATATTATATACAGTATTATTATCTGTTTCCCCCACGTCCGAATGATTTGTGCGTTTTTTTTGCGTATATTAATCCATAATTTTTCATTGCTTTATTTGCACGGTTGTTTGTTTAATAATTGAATATAAAATAAAAATTCAAATTTTTTTTTCTATTCTTTTCTTTTTATAGGTTTAAATATAATCGGAACAAATAATAATATTCCAACTGAAGCTCGTATTATAATGCCAACAGCAACAACAACAACAATAAATCGTTCAACACAACAAGATTCATCAAATAATCCATTATATCAAAGAAATTATTGTCGTTGGCCAAGTTGTGATACATTGTGTTCATCATTAATGGATTTTAATCGACATCTTAACGATGAACATTCACTTGATGATCGTTCTGTTGCACAAGCACGTGTACAGCAACATGTTGTACAACAATTAGAAGCATTATTAACACGTGAACGTGAAATACTTCAAGCTATGATGAAACATTTACATGGTGGTAGTCAACAAATAAATTCAAATGGTGCATCATCATCAAATCCAACAACAACAACAACAGCACATGTTATAACACATCAACCATCACGTACATTAGCATCATATCATAATAATCGTTCAACACAATTATCATCGCCAACATCTTCATCAACAATGCCAACAACAACAACATTTCAACATTTACCTATTGTTAAATTAGAAAATGCTTATTTAACATCAGCGTGTCTTGTTAAAAAAACAACACAAGATCTTTCATCAACAAATAATACAACGGCACAAACTATATTACGTGCTAGTGCATCAAGTTCACCACCACCTGTTCATACAGTTGAAGAAGAAGTTGGTGATGATACACAAGATGATGATGATGATGATGATGATGATGAAGATATGGTTGATACGAATGGAAATACATCAGCATTATCAAGATCTCATGGAAATAGTCTATCGATAGTTTCAATGGGTTCAACTGGAAAACATCATCAATTAAATAGAAAATCAAAAGGAATGTTAGCATTAGGTGGAAAAAAAGCTGGAAAAGGAAAAGGTTTGTTAAATAAAATTAGTCTATCGTATGATAGAAACCTTTCTAGTTGAGGTGAAATTCTCCAAGGATATACTTTCGAAGAGCTGAATTCTGATGAATCCTTTCATTGAATATGAAATGTTTGATAGTTTGAAAAAAATAATTATTGTAATAAGAATCATCAGATTTTCATTCTAAAAGTTCGAATCATTTAATATAAAAAAAAAAAAAAAACTAACTAAATTTATTTTTAGAATTAAAAAATCGAGATTATTATATGACACATGATGTACGGCCACCATTTACATACGCAACATTAATTCGTCAGGTATATAATTTAAAAGAAATGATTTCTAATAATTAAAATATTTATATACATATATATATATATATATTCTAGGCTATTGTTGAATCTCCAGATAATCAATTAACATTAAATGAAGTTTATAAATGGTTTGAAGCACAATTTCTTTATTTTCGTAAAAATGCACAAACATGGAAGGTAAATATTTGAATCTTTTTATTTCTTTTTTTTTTTTGAAATTTTCATTTTTCAATAGAATGCTGTACGACATAACTTATCATTACATAAATGTTTTATGCGTGTTGAGAATATAAAAGGTGCAGTATGGACTGTAGATGAAAGTGAATTTTGTAAAAGACGTTTAACACGAGGAGCAGAAAAAGGAAGTAATCATAATGAATCATCGTCTTCTTATGGGTAAATATATACATATTGTTTCATATAGGTATATATAAAATTTTGAAATTTTTTTAGTCATAATACATCTACGGGTGATGATCAAGCACTTTATTCGTATCCGTTTGGTATGGAAGATGACTATAAAGATTTTAAAGTACGAATAAAAAGAATTATTTTTATTGAATTGTTTCATTTGGTTTTTTTTTGTTTTCCAGGGTCTATTAAATTCTCATAATGTCGAAGATGAAGATGATGATAATTCTACTAGTGTTAATGGAAATCATGGTCAACATAATGAACAATCAAGAGATATTAATCATAATCAATATGAACAAACTGATGATGATGATGGACAAAATGATATGAGGTAAATTGAAAGAAAAAGAATTAAATATTTATTTAATAAAAATTTTTAGTTTAACACATGGAGATGATGAACAAGTTGATGAATAAACAAAAACAAAAACAAAAACAAAAAAAAACGATTTATTTCCAACGGACATGATGTCAGATAATATTCTCTTTATTCAACGCACGCACATATATAACAGTAGATTTCTCTCTCTCTCTCTCTCTCCACTCGTTATTCTTTTCTTTGCGTTAGTCTATATACAATGTATATAGTTCTTTTTTTTTCCTCTTGTGGTTAATTAAACGTTGACTTATTCAAATTCTTCTATTGGGCATATTGCTCTTCTATATATCGGTTTTGGTTTTTTTTCCTCTGTGCTTGTTAATGCTGCACAATGCTTTTTGTTGTCTGTAGTGTATGAATGTATTTATGGTTTTTTTTCTTTCGTTTTTTTTTCTTCTTCTTCTATCGTGTTTAATCACATTGTTTGTATATAAATTTCTTTTTCCTTCCGTCTTCTTCATCAGTTTTATTATTGTTGTGTTGTGTTTGATTTTTTTTCTTTTGTCTATGATGTATAAAAAAAAAAAAACAAAAAAGAAAGAAAAGAAAACAAGATGGATAAAGAAAAAAGAAAACGACAATGAAAAAAAAAAAAAAGAAGAAAGTAAGAATTTATTTGGAATGTATTGTTTTATTTATTGATACTCTACAAAAAAAAAAAAGAAAAGATGAAGAATTAGGAATGGAATAAATAATATAAAATACTAAAGCAGTTGAGATGGAAATTATGTGTACATATAAATAATCAATACTTAAGTATGTTTATTTGATTTTTGTCTAAGATTTTTACATCATTAAAATTCTTATTTATTAGTATTATTATGTGAAAAAACCTTTTATATGATGTATACATGTTACATTTGAAATAGTAAGAATAAAACAAGGAATGGTACGAATATCAACATATTAAATTCATATCTATATGCCATATTTGGTATCGTCATCGTCTTCGAAGTCGTAGGAGATGACCAATATGAGATATCGGTAGTAGAAATTGTAGTTACATTTAGTAGAATGTTTGGTTCCAAATGTTCGCCATCACTTTTTAGAATTTCTTCTATCCAATTGTAATAATAAGATAGTCGAGTATATATACCTGGAAAATTTGGTAGTGCACATCCTATTCCATATGATACAATACCCACTTGTTCCCAATATTGTCCTGTCCATTGAAATATTGGTCCACCTGAATCACCTATAGTAGAAAATAATTATCTTATATTGATACTTAAAAGAAATAGACTTTTAAACATACCTTGACAAGAATCTAAAATAAAAAAAGAAAAAATGAATTAAAAATCTTTGTAAAAAAATCTAATAAAACACTGACCTTTTCCACC